TACAAAATTCATTTACCTAATGAAATACAGAAACTCCAGGGAGCAGATACTACAGCTATTTCATTCAAACCCCAGCCCCACAACTCCTTACCCAGTGCCAGACCTGTAAGCAGGTGCTGAGTGCTTGCTGGGTGACTGGAAAACTGGATGAATGGCACATGATAAAGCACTGCATGGTGCTTAAAAGATTATTTCAAAGCACCTCATCTATCTTAAAAACCCATGTCTCTTAGTCCATGAGCCTATCATGGACCATCTGAACCATCCACAACCAGTCTGGCTGACTAAACTCAAGTTTATCAAATCAGCAAGATGATTTCCTCTTGAGTAACAATACATTGAGTCCTAGTATATCATGACGACGTTTCCAGACTTGAGTTCATTAGACTGGGGCCACTGGGGGGTCTACATCTCCAACAAACTGTCAGGAGACGTGATGCTGTTGGTCACAGACCACACTGAGATCGACAAGGGTTTGGAGTTGGAGTGGCTAGCTGTTTTTCCTTTGGGCAAAGCTCATTATTCAGTTTAAAGATTTAAGGGTGAATACAGTCCAAACACAACTAAATGTTTCTAAAATGTTAAAATACAGAAACCATGAGCAAAAAAATCTGCTTCCTTCCAACTTCTAAACAGTTTTGACTCTTGCCATATCAGTTTGCTTATGGATTGTACAAAAAAGTAGAAAAAAGGCAAAGCTGCCACCCAACACTTAAGCCACACATTATAAGAAAAGGAAGCAGGGATAAAGAAACAGAGTATTCTGTTGGGATAACAGGACAGACCATTGGGTCACTCTGATAAGCATTTCTTCCCTCAGTTGTTACTTTTTATTGTATAACTCCATTATGTTATTACCTGCAATCTCAATTATCCAAGATTTGTGAGATAAAATTTCACGAGTTACAGAAAATGTTCTGTCTTAAAAATTATTATATTAAAAAAATTCTTACCATTTGCTTTATTCAGCTCCACGNCCCACCAGCCCAGCTCCAGGACACCCACCCACGGAACGCACCACCTTTAGTCTCGCCCCCTCCACTGCCACTCCACCCCTTGGCCTCGCCCACTCTCTCCCTCTCGCGTCCGCCACCCGTCGCCCCGCCTCCACCTCTCGGTCTGGACCAATCTCCTCTCTCGACGTTTGCTCGAACCACCCCATACTCGTCCCGCCCCATCTCGCTGAAAACCCGCCTCCTCTTGCGAGGTTTGCCTGCAGCTCTCGGCCCACCCCACGTCCTTCCCTCGCCCACTCCGGTCTTGCCCGGCCTCTACTGTTCTCTTCTCGGATTCCACGCACAACCCGTTCTCGCTCTGCTCTGTCCTGGGAAGTACGTCCGTCCCCCAGTGAAGTTTGCCTGCATCGCCCCGTCCTCACCCCGCCCCCGTTCCGGGTCCCACACCCACCTTGCTCAGGACTGTCCTCTTCTCGCGAGGTTTGCCTGTGCTGCTCCCACAGCTGGAGGACAAAGCCAGCGGCGATGTTGGGTCTCGCCGCGGCGACTCCCGGCGGAACTGAACTTCCACGACCGACGGCTTCTCCCTCCAGCTCTGGCCCCGCGCAGCAACGGCCGCCCCGGGGCCTCCGGCACTCTCCCTCTCCGAGCGCATCCTGCACCCGCCGTAGAGTCGCCGCCGCCTTCCGCCCGCCCGGGCCTAAACTTCGCGAGAACTGGAACGCCCCCGCCCCCGTGGTTCAGATGCCGCCCGCCCCTTCCCCACTGCCACGGTCCCTGTTACCCACGTCCGGTTCCCACCCTCTGACCCACGACCTTCGATCCCGCCCCTCCCACGGGGTTGGAGACACCCGAGGAGCAGGAGGCGTCCGATAGGGCCCGAATCCCAAGCCTACAGTCTAGGGACCGCAGCTCCGACCAGCTGTAGTGTGGTCACCCGGAGCAGCGCTCAGGGTGGTTCAGATGTCGAGACTGCCCGCACTCTCCAGCAGCCGGGACTTCCGACGGTCTTGGGTGCAACGAGGGTCCGAAAGCCTTGCCTGTTAGCGGGTCAACGGGAAATTGAGCACCAGAGGACGTTTGGCTCCAGGAGGAGCCTTTAATAAGGCTCTGAAGGGCTGAATCAGTTTCCCACGGAGATGACCTGGTCCTTTAGCTAAACATTCCTGAGAATTACATTCACATGCTTAATAAACTATTTACAGCTATTTATTCTTTTCCAAGGAAATCTGAAAGTTTCAACAGAGACTAGCAATTGTATTCAAGAAAAAAGAACCGATTGACAAACAGCATAAATGGGTACATGGCTATCCTATTCGGAACAAAATAAATGCACCAGAATGGAGAGCAGAAATTGGCCGGCATGGAAGGTTCCCTTCAGCTGTTCTTAGGCGCTCAGGTGTCAACACTGACCACCGTCTGGATAGTGTTACAGGCTGGGTTAGAGTAACTAATAGACCCACGGCACCCACAAAACAGGGCCTTAAGAAGGCTTTCCAATGTGATTTTTACTCAACTTTTTGGGGTTCTCAATTAATGGGACAGCAACCAAGGCAGGTTCATATTTGTATATTTTTATTTTACATACAGGCAGTGACACTTTTGGTTAGAATAATTTATAAATGGAAGTTTATTTTTAAATGCTATATCTTTAATATTTTCTCATTTTTCTTTATGCGTGTTGGCTATATTTTATTCAAAGCACCTTTATCCAAAAAATTTCAAGTAGAAATAAAAAAATAAAAACCCAGAGAATGGAGTAACTGGAAGATAGTGGAAGTAAATCCAGGCTTAACTCAATCCAGTACTTAACCTTCAAACACTAAACACCTGTGAACACACTGGAAATTTGACATATTAATAGGTCAGAAGACTTAAAATGAAGTTTTGAAACTTAGTTGTCTAAAAGCCCAGAAAAGAAGCCAGGAGCTGTTTTCAATATTTCATAAAGTCTAAAGGAGTCCCATTAGAAATACACCTATGATAAAGTTATACAAACTAGATCCACGGTGTCCTTTTTTTGCCTCGAATGAAGTTGGTATAGAAAACCTAGTTGTGCTGATAAGCTCTGATGGTCTTATCTGTGATAAAAAGGAAATGTGGTTGCCAGATAAAATCTTTTAATACATAGGGAGGGAGGGAGGAGCAGAGGGGGCTGATGGTGAAAAATGTAGAAACCGTTCATTTGAAAGAGCTGAATGTTTCAGCGGTCTTTAAATACAGAGCCTATATTTGGAACAGCTTTAAAAATAACTGTTCTCAATCTATTTGCATGTCTTCCCGCTCTAATTTCTAAATATTAAACTATCATCTAACAGTATCTAATTTTAGCTCTTGAGTGATATTTCTAGATAGGGATAATAAAAAGGATTCTAAATCTCACACCTCACACTATTCTTATTGAAGCACTCTTGCGCCAAGGGTTTTACTACTCAGCCAAAAAAACCCAAAATTATCAAAAGGAAACAATCCAAGTGTCTATCAACAGATGAAAATGTATATATAGTACATATAATGGAATATTATTCAGCCATAAAAAAGGAATGAAGTTCTGATAAAAGCAATAACATAAATAAACCTTAAAAATATTGCACTAAGTAAAATAAACCGAACACAAAAGAACACAAAAGAACAAATGTTGTATGATTCCACTTACATGAAATTATCTAGAATGGGCGAATTCATAGACAGGAAGTAGATTATAGGATACCAGTGGCTGCAGGAGGGATGAGTGGGGAGTTACTGCTTAATGGGTACAAAGTTTCTGTTTGGGTGATGCAAAAAATTGGAAATAAAATGCCACTGAATTGCACACTTGAAGATGGTTAAAATGGCTATCTACATAGCCATACATACACACAATTTATTTCTTATAGCAATTTAGGTTTACAGAAAAATGGGGCAGAAAGCAGAGTTCCTATATACTCTCTGTGTCCCCCCCACCCCCATACCCCCATCTTGAACTGCTATGGTAATTTGTTACCAAAGACAGATAGATAGATAGAAAGATAGATATCCCCAATAAAGAAAAAACAAAACAATGAAAATCACAAATGGATGGGGCATGTCACAGGGACACAGGAGCCAAGCTGAAAGCCATACAATAAACAAAATTATACGTTTTTTTAACCTAAAATATAAAATACATATACATGTATCCATGCTGATGATTAAATAAATGGAAGAAACAAATTTTCATTACAGAATAATTCCAAATATGTGCAGATATACTCCCTTCCAGGGGTTAGAGCTTAAAACCCCTGGTTCCATTGAAGGTAGCCCTTACTCGGGCCAGCGGAGTGGCTTAAGAGCTCACTCGAGTGTGAGCTCTGAGCAACAGCTGTTCGAGTTCCAGCCCGAGCTGAGCTGCCACCAGGTGGCAGGATGGTTCAGCTAAAAAAAAAAAACCCCACCCAGAGGGTAGCCCGTACTTAGTGATTTAGTGATTGCTTCTAAAGAATGCAGTATGCAAAGGGAAAAACAGTAACTTTATAGTGAAGAAAGTTGGCAGACATCACTGTAATCAAGGTTAACACCATCTTTGATTACTCATGTTAATATCATGTACGCCGACATGTAATGAGAAAGGTATTTCACATCTGTGGTCTTTTTTTCCCTGAACCTACAACCCCAATCCAACCATGAGAAATACATCATTGAAGGACATTGTACAAAATATCTGACCAGTCCTCTTCAAAACCATCCAGGCTATGAAAGTCCGAGATACTGTCACAGTCAAGAGGAGCCTAAGAAGATGTGACAATTAAGTACAGTATGACCCTAGACGGGATGCTGGGGCAGCAAGAGGACATTAGTGGAAAAACTGTGAAATCCAAATAAAGTCTGGAGTTCAGTTACTAGTAACATACCACTGTAGGTTTCTTAGTTATAACAAAGGTTCCATGGTAATGTAATATGTTAACAATGGGAAGAAACGGTGCAGGGCATATGGAAGCGCTCTGTACTATCTTTGCAGCTTTTCTGTAAATCTAAAATTAGTCCAAAATGAATGTTTATTGAAAAAAGAAAAAAACAGACATAACAGATAGTTTATCTTCTTTATTTCACTATGTATAATTATTTTGTAGGATCAGAAAACATCTGTTGCAAAGGTGAGTTACCCAGTCTTTTAAGGCAGGTCTCCATTCCTAAATGTAGAGGTGTAGTCTGGATTCGTTTTAAGAAATGGGAAATTCTTAAGACATGACAAGGAGGTGAAGAACACTGATCTACTTTACTCTAGGACAAAATGAAATCAGGACCTATTTGGAATCACGTACTGTGGTCTGACATAGATGTCTCTAACATCATGTCACTTTCATTCATTTCAATTTCAAAGGTTTCTTCCAAGGAAGGTCTGGAATCTGGAGTTTTCCTTGAGGTTTCCAGTGGTGCAAGCCCTGTTTCTTCTGTAGTCTGTTTTTCTACTTCAAATTCCCTGAAATCCCACGGAGGTGAAATAATGTTTTTTAGTGTCTTCATTGTATGCACATCAAAGTCATAACATTTTAATTTGTCTTTAATGTCTGCTCCTAAAAAGAAACACCATAATAAGAATAAGAAATTCCATCACTTATCTGTCAAATCCATTGCTACATAACACTGCCTCTATCATTAAAGCAAATGGCACTTTTAAGAGTAGCTCAGAAAGAAAAAAAATGTTCCAATCAATTTTCCTTCTCTTCTGTTTTTATTACTAAGGGAGACTGCTGGGAAGACTTCTAGAAGCACATGCAGTTTCAGCTCCAGCGTGGCTCAATAGCCAGCCCATTCCCCAAATCCCTTCAATACTGATAGGAACCTATGGATGACTTTTTCTCAGCTGTTACAGACAAGAACTGCCTATAGGCATTTTGGCATTGGTGTAATTACAGGTCTTATGCATATAAAAACCATAGTAAAGGGAAATATATTTTCCACATATCAAAATCTTAAGAATGGAAAAGACTTTCAACAGGTGTATAAGGTTTAATCATTTCTGATATAAACAAATTGACAATTTTACACAGTTTAAACTAACAGCTTTCAGTATAGGTGTTTTGACAGATAATGACATACAGCCTTCTAAAATAAAAATAGTACAGCATGGTGACTATAGTTAATAATACTGCACTGCATATTTGAAAGTTGCTAAGGGAGTAGATCTTAAAAGTTCTCATCACAAGAAAAAAATTTTTCTATGTATAGTGATGAATGTTAGCTAGACTTATTGTGGTGTTCATTTTACAATATACACAAACATCAAATCTTTATGTTGTACACCTGAAATGAATACAATGTTATATGTCAATTATACCTCAGCAAAATAAAAAGTAGTACATAATGAACGATACACTTGGAAACCTTCTCGGTAAAACCATTACCTTTGTGAGGACAGGTAAAATGCCTGTCCCACTCAGTATCCCATCTCCAGACTTGACCTAGCGGTATAGGAAAACTTTGCATATAATCCACACACCACTTCCTTGAACGAATGAGGGAACTGAGGCTCAGGCCTGCCCCAGACTCACACAGCTACTGAGCGGCAAAGCTAAGATTTCAGCCAAGGGTCTTCAGCATGCCAGAACTCAAGCTTCTTTTTTTTGGTTTTTTAACTTTTAAAAACTGAGCCACAACCTACAAACTGTAAAGTGTGCACACATGGATGAATTCTCACATATGTATATACCCACTAAACTACCACCAGACCAAACTGGAACATTTCCAGCTCCTAAAAAAGCCCCTCATGCCCCTTCTAGTGAATACTTCCCTTTTCCAAGCCAGGAGTAATCACTGCTCTGATTTTTCTATCACTATTTAGTTATGCTTTATACTAATCTTCATACACATATAAATGGAACTAATCAGTGTATATTCTCTATCAAAAATTGTGAGATTTCACCTATGTTACAATATGACTCAGTACTTAGTCCTTTTAATCGTTCTACTGTATGAGTACACCACAATTTATTTCTCCATTCTACTATTGGTAGACATTCAGTTATTTCCAGTTAGGTGCTATTATTATTAAAGCGGCTATGAACAATCTTGTGTGTGAACTCTGGCTTATGAAGGCACATGTTTCTGTTGGGCATATACCTGGGAGTAGAACAGCTACATCATAAGGTCAGTACAGTAGATCACTACCCTAATACCCCTCCCAATGAATCACACCTCCCAGCACCTATGCCCTTGAATAACCTCTTCTTGTGTTGACTCTGTACTTAATCACATGACTCGTTTTGATGAATAGAATGTGACAGAAGTGATTTTGTGCAACTTCCAGCTTTTAAGAGGTCTTGAAGCTTTAGTTCTTGTCCTTTAGAACCCTGCAACCACCACGCTCTTCCAAGCCTGGGATAAAAAACCCATGGAAAGGCCCACCTGTGTCTAACATCTAGACCATAAGTCCCACCAACTGCCTGCTGAGCACAGTAGCATAAGTGAATGAGACCAGCAAACGAGCCAAAAATCGACCCACAGAACTGTGAGAAATAAAACATCTTTGTTGGTTGGAGTGGTTTGTTAGGCAGCAACAGATGATTGATATATTAGGCCTGTTTAACTTTAGGAGGTATGTTTAACAGTTTTCCAAAGAAGTTTTACCTGTTTATAACCCCATCAATAATCAATAATATATGAGAGTTCCAGTGGCTCCGTATCATTGTCAACACTAGGCACTATCAGTATTTTTAAGTTTTAGCCATTCTGACAGGTGTGCAGTGGTATCTCACTATAGTTTTAATTTCATTTCCCTAATAAGTAACGATATTAAGCACCTTAATTTGCTTTGTAACTATCTTGATATCCTCTTTCGTGAAGCTCTTGTACCAATATTTTGTCCATTTTTGACTGAACTTTTTCTTATTGATTTGTAGGATTCTTATGTATTATAGACATAGGTTCTTTTTTTTTTAGCTGAGCCATCCTGCTACCTGTTGGCAGCTCCGCGGCTGCTCAGCTCGGGCTGACT